AATCATACAATATACTTCAATGAAGATGTGAAGAAAAGGTTGTCAAAATTATCAAAAGATGTTTCAATTCATGCCACATTGAAGAATAATGAAGTTTGATTGTTATAAATTTTGGGTGGGTTACAATTTAGAGTTATTGTATTTCATTTATGTATTTTAAGACTTTATTTACTATAGGTTACAATTACATAATGGTTAATTATGGTCATTAAGTATCAATGTTACAACTCTTGGAATGACTTTAGTAGTTTCATTTTGAGGCTATATAAAGCCATGTATGTTGTATGTGTAAGGGACTTGGAAAAATATAGTAAAAAGAAGCATTTGTGCTCTTCTTTAGCCAATGGCTAAGTTTCTTTGCAATTCTATGTAGTTTAGGTTGCATGTAGAATCATTCAAGCTCGACATGATCAATCTTGCTTGTGGAGTGATTCGAATCTCATGGAAGTGTTCTTGCCTTGAGATATTTGATCAACAAGAATCATTCAAGCTAGACATGATCGATCTTGCTTGTGGAGTGATTCGAATCTCAAACAATGTTCTTGCCTTGAGATATTCGATCAACAAGGTAATCCGAATCTTACTCCCCTTGTAGTGGTTCCATATCTTATCATTTGGTATCAGAGCTTAAGGCTCAAGATCGGATATATGTTTCCTTTGCATTTCTTTTCAATTTGTTTTTATCTTTTTAGTTTTTAATCGACCCAAAATAAAGAAAATCAAATCTGGGCTCTACTAGAAAATTTGAGAGGTGAGGATGAGAGATTCATTTGTGTAAATGAGTGCAAACAGAGTGGCCTAAAATTCCTTGAGTGTATACACGTGAGAGAGTGTTATGAGGTCCTTTGTATTTCCATAACTTATTTTTTGCAGCAAAGTTTCACAAATAGATTCGAGGACGAATCCTCTTGAAGAAGTGGAGAATGATATGAACCAAAAGACATCAATCATACAATATACTTCAATGAAGATGTGAAGAAAAGGTTGTCAAAATTATCAAAAGATGTTTCAATTCATGCCACATTGAAGAATAATGAAGTTTGATTGTTATAAATTTTGGGTGGGTTACAATTTAGAGTTATTGTATTTCATTTATGTATTTTAAGACTTTATTTACTATAGGTTACAATTACATAATGGTTAATTATGGTCATTAAGTATCAATGTTACAACTCTTGGAATGACTTTAGTAGTTTCATTTTGAGGCTATATAAAGCCATGTATGTTGTATTTGTAAGAGACTTGGAAAAATATAGTAAAAAGAAGCATTTGTGCTCTTCTTTAGCCAATGGCTAAGTTTCTTTGCAATTCTATGTAGTTTAGGTTGCATGTAGAATCATTCAAGCTCGACATGATCAATCTTGCTTGTGGAGTGATTCGAATCTCATGGAAGTGTTCTTGCCTTGAGATATTTGATCAACAAGAATCATTCAAGCTAGACATGATCGATCTTGCTTGTGGAGTGATTCGAATCTCAAACAATGTTCTTGCCTTGAGATATTCGATCAACAAGGTAATCCGAATCTTACTCCCCTTGTAGTGGTTCCTTCTCTTATCAAATAATTTCTAATAATTCTTATATCCTCTAAGTATCTTAGGTGACCTTTAAATAGGTTTATTAATAGAGGATAGTTAGAAATATTCTAAACAATTCTTACACAAAAGTCTAATCACACAACTTATCATGTGCCTCTATAATTCCATCCTACCACTTACCATATGCCTCAATGATAAGACTCACAAATATGGATCGTGAACATGATAATATAGATCGCACAACTAAATAACCTAATATGCTTTCTCTGCTCAAATAAAAAATTTTAACCGTATTTGCATACCAATTACAATTTAAGAAGTTTCAATACACCCAATTCAATCCTATATCAATCATAAACTCAATAACAATTCCTATTATAACTCTAATAGGAAGTTTCAAGTAACGACTTACCTCAATTAGAGCTCGATCCTACCAAATGATGCTATTTTTCCTCATGCAAATTCTTTATTTCCTTCTAAATGAGTCATAAACTGAGTATAATATCAGTATAGTCAAACCAACCAGGAAAATGATAAAAATAGAAATGAGGTCAAATCGATCAAATTAGAGGAAAAATGGTCAAACTAGTTCATTTGCCCCTTGCACAATGTCATAGTCGTGCTTTTTCAACTATGTGGCATCGAGATCTTGAGATGTTCATGACCAACCTTGAAGGAACCCCAAGTCTCATATATATTTTTCACTCGATTTTGTGGATTCTCGAACCTTAGGCGAGGTTTGTCTTCACCAACCAAACATCGGTCGTGTGGAATCCAAGCTTGTTCAGACAGACATGCAGCTTGTGTGTACATGTTTAGTCATCTATGACACAGTCAAATTGAATCTACACTAGGCCAAGTCATTTGGTTCAACCTTGCCTCTACCTGGGGTCAAGGTCACCCAATGCAATGTCGCATCCAACATAATCTTGGTTCCCAATTAGCATGCCCCTCATATCTTCATCCCATACCAAGTTATGGGATATCGTTAGCCATCGTAGCTTACTCGGCCATGACATCGAGAACAAGCTCATGTGTCCATCGAGACATTGGCCTCCTGTGTCCGTGTCCATGTCATGTCATTTACGGATATCGTACTAGATAGCGAGTGCAAAATCCATCCTCTGATACATGGGCAAGGTCGCAATATCGGCACACTCGTGGTGTCTAGTACTGTCCTTAAAAAAATCATTTCAAAAGAAGTGATCTGAGACACTCGTCTCGAAACGCTCGTCCCCACTATGACACATGCATGTGTCATAGGGTAGCTCACTTAGGCACATGATCTAGGGGTGGTGGAGAACTGACGTCATATCTCCCCCTATAGTACATTTGGAGGCATTTTCGATGCTCCTCAGGTAGATGTGATTTTGGCGAACAGGCATTGGTGTCATGGAGCGTCCATCCAGTGTTCGATTGTCACCAAATTTGGCGAATATTCATATTTCATATAGATGGACTTGACTCTAGAACATCACACTTAAACTTCTTTTGGAACTCCGATTTTTTAGGTTAAGGCTTGGGGCCCTACTCGACCCTTCAAGAAGCCTATCTTTGACACTCGTGACTGCTTGTGGCCCTTATGTTGCTTATGTCTCGTCTTCTCTTCAATATCCATTCTATATGGTGTGTTAGATGATGCAGTGTTTTCTCTTGTCGCGATGTGAGAGTCACAACCTACACTATTCATAGTAAGATTGTGACACACAACAACTCGCTTAATGCCCAATTTTGCCTTTTGTCTCTTTTTCTTACTTCATCAAGCTCGATTTTGTCCTCATTTGGCTTCAATCTTGATAGTGTTCATCAAGAAAAGCCAATGAAACAAAAATCAAGCAAAACCATTGATTATACAAGGATATACCGAATAGTTTATTATTATTATTCTTGAATAGACCATAATAAAACTTCCATTTAAAAAACAATAAACAGAAAGCATGCAAGATAGGTCTCCTCCTAAATTGGATATACAAAATTCTTATCCATCGTTTTATGAAGGAAATTCTCACAAACTCCCTCTAAATCTTTAACCATGAGTTTAATTTCTAGATTTATAGGCAAAGAAATTCATCCAAATCTAGTCGATTTAGCTCAAATTAATCCCATAATTCAATTCATCATCCTCCTCCCCTCCTAGCCATGCTAGGTTAAACAAACAAACAAAAAAATATATATATTCATTATTCATTATCGACAATACAATCGTGTGGCCGCCACCTTTTTTTTAGTGTGAGAAATTTCTAATTTTTCTTCTTTTATTTTTCACTTTCCTATTTCTTTTTTTCATTTTTTTCCTCTCTCCATTTTTAAATTTCGGATATTACAAAGATCAAACTAAAAATTAGAAAATAACTTTAGAATTCCATAAAGGTAAACATATTATATTTAAACACATGAGATATTAACATACAAACATGTTTGAAAAAATACACAATATAAATTGAAGCTCTAAATCTTATATATGACTTCGGTCTAAAATGGTCTCTTAGATATCATCTACAAAAAAGAACGGTGTAACGAATAAATATAAAAACACTCAATAAGTATCTTATTAGACACTAAATAAATGTCTATGGAATCTAATGGTGAACTTACACTAAGCTCTCGTGAACTTAAATTAGGATTCATACTCTAAATATATGACAATTCACTCCTCCCCTCTAAGCTTCTCACCCGTTACAGTCGCACGACCTAAGACCTTAACTTAAAAATGGTTTCATACTCTCTAGTTTTTATAAGTTTATTTCATCATCAAATTCACACAACTTAACTCAATAATTGGATTTGCATGAGTCAACTCTTTTGAGCTCACTTAAATTAGGTATCAACAATCAAATGATACCAAGTACCAATTCATGATCTATTAGTCAACTAACATGCATTACTAAGCCACGTGTGATTAATTTAGTCATGTAGCATTCATGCATGCAATAATCCATTCAACCTTCTGCTTCAACCAATTGAAATTATGATTCAAATGTGTGGAATGGAAAATGAATAATAAGTAAATAAAGATAGAGAAGGAGTATTATTTAGAATTAAAAAAAAAGAAAAAGAAAAAAGAAAAAAAGGAAAAGGGATGCAAAAAGAAGTGAAATTGCAAAAAGGGGGGTTGGGAAGTTTCAGTTCATATCTAACTTCTTGTCCCATCAGTCTCTCCTTTCACAGTTTGCTTCTTTTTCACAGATAAGGCAGTAGAAGACAAAAACACACACCCTCTTCAATCCTCCAATACATCTCCATGCCAAACTAGCCCACCTTCTTTCTCACCTCCAAACCTCTTTCATTTTAACCAAACTAAAATTTAAAAATAAAAACACAACACTCCTCTCACCTCTTTCCTTCTATTATATTATGACCCCATTTGTCAGTTTCTTCTGTCTCTCTCTCTCTTTCCCTCTCTCTGGGTGGCGTGTCATTTCAGAATTTAAATTACATAACTCAGAACTTTTTTTTTTTTGGGTAAAAAAATCTAATCTTCTTTTTAGAACCCATCTTGAAACCGATTGATCGAAGAAGGAACGTCCAAACGCTGCTGCTGTGATCCGTCTCTTCCACCACCGCTCTCCCGTCCGCCGAACGTCGCTGCTGGACCCACCGGAGCTCCGATGCAAGTGTAGCTACTCGACTCCATGGAGCTGCTCGTCGACCCGTAGTTCATGGTCTGGTGGCTGCATTGTGCGGGGTTCCCTAAGACGTGACCCACATAGTAGTCGTTGATGGAGGCTTGCGGTGGAGGATAGTATGAAGGGAAACTGGATGGCCGCGAGGGGGAGCTGTATAGATATGGCTGGTGAGGTGGCGGAGGAGGCGGTGGTGACGGGGTCGGCGGCAGAAGGGTAGTTGGGGACGAGCCTGGGAACATTCTTGTTGGGAATCTGAGAGACAACGTTGGATCACTTCCTACGCCGCCGCTGCCAGCTGTGTGGTAGCTGCCCGGTGCCATTGAGTGGCAGCACCTAAAATGTTAAAAAAAAAACACAAAATTTATTTAAAATATATATAATTTGAAGGGAAATCAGCTGAAAACTAAAATATTAACTATTGTAATTCTATATATATATATATATATGAAAATGTTGTAATTTTTGTAGTTTTACAAATATAGGTTAATGGTAATATATTTGAGATGAATGGAATACCCTAAATGAGGAGGAGGAGATTGGACAGCCAGATTATCGTTACTGAAAACAAGCTGACGAGCTCGATTCAGTGTCTCTGTCTCTCTCTCTGACCAAAAACCAAACACAAATGGAGTCAAAAATCAAATCATACACAAACAAACCTGCAACTAATAATTCACCCAAAAATACCCCCAAAACTCCCTCCTTTTCTCATGTCTCTCTTTTCACATCATTAACAAAAACAAAACCAAAAAAAAAAAAAAAAAAAAAAAAAAAAAAAAAAAAAAAAAAA